GTAGAGATACACAGAAAACAGAACACTAGCTCTGATAAACACAGCACGGCTCTGCCGTAAGCACCCTCCACATTGGTGCCCGTGGACCTAACCTACAGTGCACCATACCCACCCTGCTAATCCGACTGCCCACGACTCCTTACCGGCGTTGTTCTATACATGGAAACCAGCTGTTTACGATACTACACATGCCTCTACAACTTGTAACACGTTTTACACTACTGCGCTGTAACGGCCGAATGCGTGATACTACGACCTTGAGCATGTACGAATATCTTACACACACGTATGCACAAACACTCGCACACGTACATACAATATCTAACAAAAATATGTACAATTCAACGACGATAAAAACATCAACTATCTCTCATTATATCCCGGACTCGTGACGAGTAATTAAGTACGAGTAAAAACTGTGATGCATTTTGCTCCTTGTCCAAAGGCTTCAGACTTCACCTGCTAGGTGGCGCTGTGTCTCAAGTAAATCACGATTTCACGATCGTAGCTTCTTGATCAATACCGGGAGCATCACTGGGCAAATTTGCGAGCGCCATCTACAATGTGACAAGTCTACTCGTGCGCCACCTACATTCTAATTTCACAAGTCACCGCGTGCAGCCTGTTCTTAAGTAGAGCGCGTGCTGGGGTGCTGCATTGAATATATCACTGGCGTTATTATATCTGCATCATTATCGCATTAACGTGGATCGCAGGTGCACCAGGCTTTACACACGAGTCGTGAGTCGTGAGAAGACGCCCTAGAAATGGGATCAAAGAACAAGACAAACGTGGCCAACGGTCTACTGCTGCTATTGCACGGTTGTGAATATATAACAAACGCAGTTTTCATGTAAAACTGACCAATCACAGTGCAAATTCCGGTGTTTCACACTATTGAGTGTTAGACACACTGACGCACGCATACACGCCCATTGACAATCACAGGGATGTCAATGGCAACCATTAAATCTTTAGCAAAAAAAACACGCAAAAACGCGCAACATTCTTTACAGATGCACGGTCGCAGGTACGTATATATACCTCATCCAATAATAAGACACCACCAAAGCAACAGTACTCAGGAATAACAACACATGTGCATGCTCGTAACGTATAAGACAATAATGTAAAGAAATGACTCGACGAGAAATTCGATATAAACGGGAAGCTACACCTGGCACGAATGCGGTACACATCGCTAACAAATTTAGGTGACAGTATAACAACATAACAATTGAGTACTACATGAATTGAGGGGGGGGGGGTGAGGCTTATGTTGGTGGATCGGGATGAGGCTCATGTTGGTCGATGGGGATGAGGCTCATGACATCAGTGTCTCATATCATGGTCACGAAACCAAACAGTTACATGTGCACCCATAGATATATACAAACACATTTTTGTGTTTGTAACCAGCACATGTGGACCTCAGTTATTGCCAGCCATCAGTCATGTCTGGCTGTCTCAGATCTAGTAATGTGTGTGTCACATAGATGACATGTATCATGTCAAATGAAAGGCATTGCATTCACATTTCACACACGTTCCATACAGATCAGGAGTGAATTATCTCAATTCGAGATTATTTACTTCCGATATAGATAGATACTTGCACATGTGGAGAACACATAGAATTACAGACACACACAGATGCGTACTTATAAATGTACTATTCAGCTGATCATGAAATACTGTGTTTCGTCGCACAATCCACATCCTTTGTGGTGGCCGATATTATGGTAATTAATTACGGAACTATATTATGACCAATGAGGGATTTAAATCACAGAGATTGCGCAGTCTGCCCAATTGCAGCACACTACTGAGTATATATGATACACACGCTTTCGCAAGAATTTCAATAATTAGCATCTGCCAAATTACTGCATTGGGATAAGATTGCGATCTTCATGATTATGTAAATAATATAAAAAGCAATATATATTTACGCAAACAGGCAATAATAACAGTTACTAATAACAGTAGCGGATATATTTTATATGAATATACGAAGTAATTTATGTAGAATTCTATATTCTCTACTCCTGATATATATATAAGTACCTTTCATTACACCAGTTCCTTATTTCATTTGCCACTTTGGTATAATTTGCAGAAATATATAATAAATCTAATCAAATGGTACTGAAATCAACAACATTCATTTTAAATAGAATATAAGCCAGTAACAAACGTCTAAAATTCTAGAGGTAAAACAGTAAACCTGACGCTGACAACTAATACACCCACATCATCGCAACAACAACAACATCGGCTGATTTAACAATGTCAAGATTCTACACCGATCACAAGCCGACGCCATCTAACAATAAAAAATGGCACGTGTAAATTTAACTCACGATAAGAACTTTGCGCCGCCGCCGCAAACTCCACGCGAGAGAGCTTCTAGACAATTTACAGACGATTAACTAGATATTATGCTAGAGATCCGGCCTTCGTACATCGATCTGTAAATCGCTAACTACGCAGTTACTCTACATACAAAAATCACTATAGTTGCTAGCCACACTACAACCTCCAGGTGGCTTCGCTAGGGCAAGCTTGATGTGAACATTCGATGATCACGCTGGCTCTTCGTTGACCCCCACTTAGAAAACCTGTCATGCCATCAGCAGCCACCAGGTGGCACAACCATACTGAGGCGCCATCTATGAGAAGAATGGGTCGTCTGCGAACGGATCGAGCTTGGCAGAAAAGAATTCGTCCTCCGATAAGAGCTTCCAGACAATTTACAGACGATTAACTAGATATTATGCTAGAGATCCGGCCTTCGTACATCGATCTGTAATTCGCTAACTACGCAGTTACTCTACATACAAAAATCACTATAGTTGCTATAGCCACACTAAAACCTCCAGGTGGCTTCGCTAGGGCAAGCTTGATGTGAACATTCGATGATCACGCTGGTTCTTCGTTGACCCCCACTTAGAAAACCTATCATGCCATCAGCAGCCACCAGGTGGCACACCCATACTGAGGCGCCTTCTATGAGAAGAATGGGTCGTCTGCAAACGGATCATAGATACTGAACGGATCGAGCTCGGCAGAAAAGAATTCGTCCTCCGATAATGGTTTCATGTCACTGCAAGAAACAAGTGGGAAAACGTGAAACATATATAAATATGTGAATGTGCATAAGTATATATAAATGTAGAAAATATATATATATATATCAGAAGTAGATAGTAGTCTCTATTATCTACTTTTGATATATATACATACACACATATATATATATATATATGTGTGTGTGTGTGTATGTATATATATCAAAAGTATATATATATATATATATACACACATATCTATATCTATATCTATATATATATATACATACATATACAAATACACACATATTTATACATTTGCACATATATTTATATAAAGGTGAATTAGAAAACCCACTAAAACACCACACACACACACTGGTTTTCCAACATGTAAACAAGCGCGCGCGCGGGGCTGCAGCGGGCGTACGTGCGAGCGCAGCTAACTCACCCTCCGTTCTGGCGCGCCCGCGACGACGGCAGGTCGCCCGCGTCGACCGTCTGTGCCTTCTGAAGCGCGCGTTGCGGCTTCGCCACCGGGTTAGCTCCTGCGCGCGCCACCAGAGGGGGTGGCGAGATCGCCAGCGCGGGATCGGCCTGTGGCGGCGGCGGAGCGAGGACAAGGGGAGGCGGGGCGAAGGGCGGCGGCGAGGGACTCTTGGCGTGTCGGCCGGGACGCGGCGGCGGGATGGGGACGGGGACGTCGTTGGCTGCGACGATGGCGGCGGCGGGCGGGAGGGGAGGCGGCGGCACGTCGGGGGAGGGCGACGAGCACGTGGAGATGTCCGGGGACGGCAGTGCGGGCAGCGGCGGCGGCGGCACGTCCGGCGACGGCACGCTGTCGGTCGACTCCTCCGACGACTGCGCCGCCACGCGCTTCGTCTTCTGCGGCGTTGCCGGCGGCGACAGGATGCTGAAGCCGCTTGCGTCCATCGAGCGGCCCTTCGGTCGCGCACGGGGGCCAGCGGACGGCGACGCAGCCACCGCCGTGGCGACGGGCGTCGACCCGGGAACTTTATTGCCGGCAGGGGGCGCCGCCGGCTTCGACGTGTCTCCGCTGAGTTTGCGGAAGCGCGACGAGACGAAGAACGGGTCGTCCGCCGGTGTCGGCACCTCACTGACAGAGGGCGCCACCCAGCCGCTCGCCACCGCGAGGGTTTGCGGCGGCGGAGGTGGCGCCACCATGCCGCCGAGCGAACCGCTTGCAAATCCGGTGTCGAATGGGTCGTCTCTCGCGAGAGGTGGCGCCACCGCCGCGACCGCCACGTCGGCATCGACAACTTTGGCACTGAACTCGCTCGTCGTCGTCTGCTGCACGAGGCTAGGTGGCGCCACCCCAAACGGATTCGCCGCGGCGGCGGCGTCGCCGGCGGCCGCAGCCTCAAACGGGTCGCTGCCCGGCGACGGGAACAAATCGGCCTGCACGCGGCCACCGTGCGGCGCCACCGTCGCCTGCTGGAATGGATCCGAGGTCGGCGAGGGGAAGAGGTCGGCCGGCGCCGGCGAGCAGCGCCGCGTCTGACTAGAGGGAGCCGGTCGAATATCGCAAACGGATCTCCCGCCGTCGTCGTGGCGACGACCGCCGCGTCCGGCCGCGGTTTCACGAGCTGGTGCAGCATCGCCGAGTCGACGGACATGCCGAACGCGGCGCCCCCTGGTACCTCGCCTCGCAGCTCGCGCAGCGATTTCTTCGGCGGCGTTCGCAGCTCGGCGAAGAATGCTCTGCGGTCGCGCGGCGACGCGCGAGGCTGGCCACAGCCCCGTGACGGTGTCGCGGCGGCCGCCGCGGTGGCGCCCCCTGGCAGCTCGGGCACCAGCGGCTCGGCGTCCATGTCGAGGAGCGGCGACTCGGGTTTCGGCGGCGCGGCTGTGTGAGGTCGCGCCGGGGTCGTCGTCGTCGTCGCCGCCGCGGGCGACGGCGGCTGCGAGTCAGGCTCGTGATGAACGGACGTCGGACGACGACGGGGTGGCGCCCGCCTGCGGGGACGGCAGTCTGCGACGGGGGCGCTGCAAGCGCGGCGCCGAGCGCGAACGGGTCGACGCTGAAGGTGGGCGGCGGCGTCGCCGGCGGGCGGGGGTGGTGAAGTCGTCGTCGCGAAGAGGCTTCTTGCTGGATGAGGAGGTTCCTATGCTGAGCTGGGATTCCTTCTTCAGGGAGGAGGAGGGCGAGACCTGCTCCTGTCCCAGCTTACAGAGAGAGAGAGAGGGCGGAGAGAGTAAAATCTATCTTCTGTTCCAGTACACACACAGAGAGAGAGAGAGAGAGAGAGAGGAGAAAGGAGGCGAGGGGAGGGAGTAGAGGGAGGGAGGGAGGGAGGGGAGAGAGAGGAGAGAGAGAGAGAGAGAGAGGAGGAGAGAGAGAGAGAGAGAGAATAATCATTTTGTTCTAGTTAGGCAAAAAGAAAGAGAAAGCGATAGAGACAGCACGAGAATGAGAGAAAAGGAGGGAGAGGGAGAGGGAGAGGGAGAAAAAGAGGGAGAGGGAGAGTGAGAAGGAGAGGGAGAGGAAGAGAGAGAGAGAGAATCAATACGTGTCCTTGTCCTCCAACTACAGACACACAGAGGGGAGAGAAGAGATATATAGAGGGGGAGAGAGGAGAGGAGAGAGAGACTATAGAGAGAGAGGCGGGAGAGAGGGAGAGAGAGAGATAGAGAGAGAGGGGAGAGAGGGAGAGAGAGAGAGAGACAGAGAGCGAAGAAGAAGAGGAACGAGAGAGAGAGAGAGAGACAGGAGAGACGGATGAGAGAGAGAGAGAGAGAGACAGAGAGTGTTAAAACGAACAGTTCGTTTCCTACGCCGGCAACACTTAATCGAGAAAGTAGCAGAGAAAACATTTCGTGCTATTTATAATAAATTAGAGAGGAGCGAGGGCGAGGGAGTGGGTGAGAAAGAGAGAGATTGAGGACAAAGAGAGAGACAGACAGAGAGAGATGAGAGAGAGAGAAAGAGAGGGAGGGAGGCGGGAGGAGGGAAGGAGCGGAGGGAGGAGGGAGGGAGGGAGGGAGGGAGGAGGGGGGAGGGAGGAGAGAGAGAGGAAGGAGAGAGAGACGAGAGAGAGATGAGAGAGAGAGAGAGAGAGACAGAGACAGAGAGAGAGAGAGTGAGAGAGAGAGAGCACGTTAAAATGAACAGTTCGTTTCCTACGCCGGCAGCACTTGCGTGCTTCAGGATATGTTGCGGTTGGTTTTTCATTCTCGTGCTAATGGAAAGGTTGGTTGTGTTGACGCACGAACTCAATGGTAAGGTAACTGGCGATTTCTCATAATTATGTCCACTTCACTTGAGGCCAAAAGCTTTTATTACAGGCTATATATTATTACATATAAAAACACATGGAAACAGACACAGATACAGAAAATACGCATATTAAAAAGCAAAAGCTTACACACTTATTACAGGCTATATATATATATACCTAGCGGGATCCGGCGTTTGCCCGGGAAATCTCAGTGGCGGTTACTCAGTTGGTGACTGCTTGGTTAAAAGAAAATACCCCAAAAAATATAACTATCTATCGTATCCATGCATGCATCCATCCATCCCATTCCATGCCATCCCATTCCCATCGATCCCATCCATTATCCCATCCATCCTATCCATCCCATATCATCCCATCCCATCCATTGCCACACGCATCTACATCCCATCCCATCCCATCCCATATCCCATCTCATCCCATCCCATCCATCTCATCCCATCTCATGCCATCCCATCCCATCCATGAACTGCCATGCCATGCCATGCCATGCCATTCGCACCTCATCCCATCGCATCCAATGCCATGCCATGCCATGCCATCCATGCCATCCCATGCCATACCATCCCATCCCAAACAGCCAAAAAATAATAAGAAATCAAAAGATAAGACATTAAATATAAAAATTAAATTAAAAAATTAAAATAATACAGACTAAAGAAGTAGGTAAGGGAATAAAAGGAAAAAAGTGAAAAATAAGTTCCCCAGCTGGAACTCGAACCCGGAATCCCGGTGTAGGAGACGGATGTATCTAGCGATTAGCGCACTGCGCTCTTAAGGATATACCCATGGATTCACACGTACGTGATGTTAACTATGTACGCACACCATCTATTGATGAATAGAATTTTTATGAATTTCTAACTTTTTTAAATTTTTGGTTTCAGGCAGAACACCTCCCAGACGTCGCGATTCTGAAAATATCTTTTAGTTTTCCTCTAGGCTGCCAGAGTTCTCTAGTTATGCGAGTACGAACTAATTCGGCTAAACAACTGTATATATATATGTATATATATTATGACATATATTTATCTGGAGTGAATAAAATTGTTCACGTCTCATATATATATTCATATATATATATATATACATATATATTCATATATATATGAATATATATATATATATATATATATGAATATTTATATATATATATATATCTTCATATATATATATATATACAGGATTATATTTCTACAGTGTATTTGACAGCAGTGTGAAGTGTCGTTACCTTGACGATGGATGCAGACGAAGAGTAAGTGAAGGAGGTGATGAAGGGGTCAGAGGTCACGGGTCGCAGTGGCGGCGTCGACTGCACGACGAAGAGGTCGTCCGCGCCTGAGAACAGGTTCATGTCCTTGATTCCCTGCAGAGAAAGGCCGGATTTGCTAGCCGTTAGTCTACGTGTGAAGAGAAAAAGGGTAAGACCAAGGGAAACCTGGCGAAGGACAGCGGAGAAAGAAAGGATTACAGTAGGGTTTAAAACATGGACCGAGGCCGAAAAGACCTAGACCTGCCAAAGATAGAAAGTCATGGAGAAATTTGATTTCCAGCCCTATTCTCCACGAGGAGATAAGGAAAACTAAGAAGAGACTACGTGTTGCACGTGCGCGTGCACCGCAGGCATACGCCGCTGTCCACTCTCCTATCACGTCGTTCACTAGTGTTTCGTCGACGACATGCGTGCACTAGTTAGAATGCGGTGCAGGCATGACTTGAGTCTGTTATACGCCGACCGCGGAGACTAGGAAACGATATGTTGCGACTGCGGGATGCTGTCCCCTGCCACGTGATGACACGCGCGTCGCCACGGCAACGATCGTTATGACAATACCTGCTGCATCGTCTCCAGCTCGGTCTCGAGGTCTAGGAGGCTGCCGGTCGCTGGATTCAGCTCAGCTTCTCCTCCCCCTCCTCCTCCTCCTCCTCCTCCATCCTCCCCCTCAGCCTTGTTCTAGAAAGCACAAGCGGATAAATGACAGGTAGAAGGAGTGAGAGGTTGAGAGGGTACATGAGAGGATGAGAAGGTAAAAAGGGGGAGATGAGATAGCACAAACGTATAACACCAACAAGCGAGTGCGCGAGGCAAATATGCCTGCAGTTTCTGCTGGCAACCAGAACTACCTTCTACCTACCGGAAACAAATGATCCCTAACGTAGATTACAACGTCGTGCTCGAAATTCTTCGACTCCGACTCCGTAACCGCGTTACGGGGGAGGGAGGGAGAGAGGAGAGGGGAGGACGCATGAACGGACGTGCCGGTCACCTGGTAACGGCACATCCTTAGGTGACATAACGCGACAGCCAGCGCGTGAGAGATGTCACACGCACGCTACATCACGTACAGTTGTCACGGTGCGGGAAAACAGACCGTTATTGAGCGCGACAGCCGCGTGTTTTTACATCCTACGCCTGACGGCTGCTGTGCGAAAACACACAATAGCACGATGACGAGGCTGCGGGGGCGATATAGATATACACGAGCTTGAACGCGATATATAGGCTGGTTTATGATGTATATATTACTGATGGGAATCGGTTGGAATTTCATCATCGATCATCGGTTGCACCCAACCGATCGATGATCGAAGATAATCGGTTCAATGTTATTGATCGCGGCTACCAGATATCGAAATATATCTGGTATCATATAATACAGTATTGTTTATAATATAATATTCTAAAAGCCATGTGAACGACTGACGTTCGATTATAATCGATCATCGGGACATCACTAGCATATATATATACCACCCATCGACTAAATGAGTATTCACTGCTATACGGCAGATGCTCTCCTCGATCACTGCTCCGATATATCTACAAGCGCATCCTGCCATATCACATTGCAGATTGAAATTAGGCCAATGCACGCACATCAACTCGCGTATAGTCTGTCCTGTTATGACGCTGTCGATTTTTTTTCGACTTCATCGTGAACTTGTTATATCATCACATCACATGTTCAGCACTAACCGATTTCATCACACAGTCTATACCATGTGGATCTTTTAAAGACGGATATATTTTTTAGGACTTTTTTTAGGAATCTATGGAATTCTTAGGAAATTTCTTGTAGGAATTTCCTGCCGATTTTCACGTAGTCTGCCATATCTAGACATATTGACGTTGTTGATTTCTTTTTTAGGGTAGAGTTATTTTTAGGGATCGTTTTCTAGTTCTCGAATCTATCGTATTTTGATGTTGTTGATTTTTTCAAGGCAGCTTACTGTTTTTTAAATAAAAGGCTTTTAAAAGTGATCGAGTCGATTTCTCGTATATATATGACGTCCGCCACATTTTGTTCATTATTTAGATTACATTTATTAGATTACATTCGTGTATGTATGTATTTTGTATTTATGTCATTGTCATATGTCTATAATGTTTCCCCCTTGTGTATAATTATGTTACTCGCTGCCAAGTTACTATTATGTCATTATCATTAGCTCGCTAATCAGCCAATTTAATCAACCAATTTAATCAGCTTAACTCATTAAACAGCGAAAGATCCGTGAGAAAAAATGCGTTTAGCATCCAAGATCCTATCCACCAGCATTAATCATCCAAATTAATAACCAATTAACTTAATAATAATATAATAATAATAATATATATACATATAATTATAATAATGCCTTTAGCATCCAAGATCCTAACCGCAACACAACATTACTGTGTGTGACAGTTTTATTCTAGCGATTTCCTCGCACATCAACAGCCAGTGGCAACGTCACGTGGGCTTTGAGTGGTCAACTGGCCGACTTTGTTTGTACGTGTACTCGGCTGTTGACTCTCGTGTTGTTTACTATTGCTTATCATTAGAGTCACGTAATGATAATCTGAGCGATGGAGAGTTCTGTGATACGATATCGGGGAACGAATGTCCTAAATAAACAGGGCGAAGCGGTGTGTTGATTAATTACAAAACTGAGAAATTCCACCCCTCCCCGCGTGGCGTGCCCAGCATTCAACATACCCTGACCACATCCCGCACTACACGCACATATAAGAACCTGCTATAATTGGGGGATTAATTTCACCTTTACAGAGCAGACAGTATACACGCACAGATACTCTTCCCATCCCTCAGTCGCGTGGACACGACTTGCCATAAGTGACGGCGTTAGTAATAACCATGACAACCGTGCGTACGTGCGTGTGGTGCGAACAATAACAGCAGGTGTGCATTATGAGTCTGTTGTCGCGTAAAGACTGGCGCGCGGGAAGGGGGAGGGTGGGGAGGGTGGGGAGGGGAAGGGAAAGGGTGGGGAAGGGTAGGGGAGGATCGTCACGAGAGAGTCCGCGAAGAGAGACGCTGCTAAATGAATGGTTGATACGCGCCGTAAAAACATCGATCCAGCGAGCTAGAGAGAAGCTAGAGAGCTAGCGAGAGATTTCTAGCGCAACAACGCTAGGCTATAGCACGCGAGGCAACGTCGTGCATATACGTAGTGACATCATGTAGTATAATAATGACCAAATTTGCCAACAAATAATGACAAGTTAACCCCCGGTCGTGTACGGTCGCTCTCACTCGCGTGACCGCTCTTTATTATTTTTATTGTCGCGTTAATTTCCCTCGCAATCTATATCTATATGTCGCGATATGGAACTGTGCTTTCACATTCACTATGTACAGTCTCCCACCATATCTCTATAACAACCGTCGCAGCACCGCCGCAGTGAGTTACGCCGACGATACCAGACATGGCCCGAGAGTGGAGACTCTGTGAGAGATGCCCAACGTTTACACGTGTGCAAAACGTTTGATTCTGCCGAGCACGAGACCTGATGACGGACTAGAGCGAGACATTCCCGCACCGTATCGCTCACACTCACACACGCACGCACACACACACACGCACGCACGCACGCACACACAAACGCGCACGAACGCACGCACGCAACGCAACGGACAACCGCAACGGCCAACGGCAACGGCAACGGCACGGACTACAACGACGGACCACGGTACAACCGAAGTAGAACGAGAAGAGGAAGAGGTA